CTCCGCTGCGCGCTGACGTCACCCCGCGGGCGTCCTTGCCCACCTGGATTCTGACGCTCGTTTGCGAGAGGTCCAGCGCGTGTGGAGCGCGGCGGGGCTTCCTGAAGTCGGTGTGACACCAGCCGGCAGGGAGCGCGGCTTTGGGCTCCTGTGTCCGGAACAGGGGGCGCCTGGGCCGACGGCGGCGCTGAGACCGCCTGCAGTTGGGGTTGGGTAGCTCCCCAGAGCAATGTAAGTGCGTCCTCCCTGAAGGGATCGCGGAGGAACATGACCTCTAATCCAAACTCCTTTAGTTAGTAGTTGAATTTATTGGGGTGACACTGGTCACCACAATTATACAGGTTTCAGGTGTGCAGTGGACACATCATCTGTCCACTGTATTGTGTGTTCACCACCCAGGTCAAGCCACCGTACATCACCATTTATTCCCCCTGTGCCGTCTTACCGGCTTCTTTATAGAGTTGTACACACATGTTAGCCGCTACTCATTTTCCATTCACTATACACCCGTGCCACACGTTAAAGATTAGTTATTTTAAAAAGGTAAAGTCACGGATATTTTTGTATGCAAATAAAAAATGCACATGTGTCAGAGTTTAATTCATTAAAGACCATAAAGTTTGTAAGGTATTCTGAAATGAATTTACATCTTTCCTTCCCTGACTTCCCCTCCATCCAATAGATCAGCAAGTTTTTTGTTTTTTTTTAACTCAACTTTCAAAATTGGATTCCTCGTCTCCATTTTCACAAACACTATCTCAGTCTGAGCAGAAATTATCTATGGATCGGACCACAACCTTCCAACTGACTTCACCTCCCCCCAATTAGCCTTACCTCCCAAATCGATTCTCTACACAGCTTTCAAAGTGATCAAAACAAAACAAATCAAAACAAAAAACAACAGTAAGTATAATCTAGATTATGTTGCTCCCTTTCTTAAAATGCACCAATAGTTTTTCCTTTGCCTGGAGAATTAAATTCACACTCCTTATGCTTGCTTACAAAGAACTACACGGTTTTTGTGCCTCTTCATCTACCTCATCTGACACTTTCTGATTCTCTCACTGTGCTCTAGAGCCTTCTGCTTGGACAAGGGAGGGAGAGCACACGCTGGGACCTTTCTTTGTGAGGGTTTTTAAAGGCTGGAGGCTTAGGGGAGGTCTTGGAGAGGATCTCAATAGAATATTCATCATTTTATGCTGATGCACCAAAATGAAATTCCCTTAACTTCATCTGTCCTTGGGTGTGGTTGGCACAAATGGCACTAATTGCTATCTATCTTTCTGAGAAAGGTGATTTCAGCTATTTACCCTCTGGTTGGGGAGAAGTGCAAACCATTTACTCCTAAGTGTCTTTGGTTACAGAAGATACTGTTTTGTGATTTGCTAGATGGCTATATAAACTGCCTGGTTAACTGTCTGTCTCACTTCCGCTATTCTGCTTGTCCTAGCTTACTAGCCAGTCTCAAAGGCAAGGGCAATATTCACGAGAGAAAAGTAATACAATTCAGATCCCACCTTTACACAGTCTCTTTTACATAGAAGTCAAACCTGCTTTTCTTTCCCTACTTTCCAGCTCAGTGATTGATGGCCACACCACCATTCGTTCAGCTATAAAACCCTGGGCATCATTTTCAATTCCTGCCTCATTTTATTTCTCTTATTTAATTACACATCAAACTATTGCCTCCAGTTCTGAAACTTTTCTAGAATTTTACCCTCTTCTTTACTCATGCTATTATGGCCTTGCTTGATGTTATAGGAAACACTTCCTTCACTACCTTATAGCTTTTTCCTTTGCTTTGCAGAGGAGGTAGAGTGAACAAACTGACTGTTGAGCAAACTGAGGTCCACGTGACCCCGTCCAAAAAGATAAATTATGTGTAATGCAATAGGGAAGAAAACATGTCATATTTGTCAAGTTCCTGTGAGGTATCCTTCTGCATACAGGAATTATGCTTGCTTAGATATTTATTTTTTACTAGAGGCCCAGTGCACAGACTGCCGGTTTAGGCCTGATCCTGCAGTCAGACATCCCTCTCACAATCCGGAACTACTGGCTCCTAACCACTCGCCTGCCTGCCAGCCTGATCAATGCCTAACTGCTCCCCTGCCAGCCCAATCGCCCCCAACTGCCCTCCCTTGCTGGCCCGATCACCCCCAACTGCCCTCCCCAGCTGGCCTGATCTCCTCCAACTTCCCTCCCCTGCTGACCATCTTGTGGCTGCCATCTTGTGATGATGTGGGGGTGGCCATCTTGTGACGACGTGGGGGCTGCCATCTAATGATGGCGTGAGGGCACGAGGGCCACCTAGGCTTTTATTAGTATAGATTAGAAAAGAGGTAGGAATGTGTTCTTCAGTGTCCTGAATGAGCTAGAAAGTTGTGATTGGTTATCATAATTGAATCTGTTTCAAGTGATGGAAGCAGGTGTGATGAGGTGTCACCACAGGCTCACCCTTCCTGCCTCTGTAAATTATAATGTGGTTATATCTCTCCCCTTCTGAGCCCGTTTGGCCTGGTGGTGTTCATGCAGAAATGCACGTAATAACTCGTGCTTAGCATTGTCATGAATTGTGATAGGGTTTCAGGACATGCTACCCCAAATATGGCACCGTGGCAAAGTGAATATTTTAAGCTGAAAGAGTCTGAGAAAACAGCAGAAACTGGAAAGTCACTTTGACCTCCCCCTCCCCCTTCTTCCCTGAAGCAGGCCAAAACACCCTCTAACATGAGGGTTTTATGACCTGGAAAGGAGCATGACAAAGGGAAAGAGAGAAGAATCCAAACAGGTTTTGCTGTTTCTCCCAGGTTACTACACTTACCTCATACTTTTTGGCATATCATACTTCCCCACAACTATCCACTCTTTTTTTAAAAAATATTTTTATTGATTTTTTTACAGAGAGGAAGGGAGAGGGATAGAGAGTTAGAAACATCGATGAGAGAGAAACATCGATCAGCTGCCTCCTGCACACTCCCCACTGGGGATGTGCCCGCAACCAAGGTACATGCCATTGACCAGAATCGAACCCGGGACCCTTGAGTCCGTAGGCCGACGCTCTATCCACTGAGCCAAACCAGTTAGGGCACAACTATCCACTCTTCATCAACCTAGCATAAAAATACTCTGGATTAACCCTTTCTTTACGTCTTCATTTCCTATGAAGGTTTCCATGCCACATAAGATTTATATGCTTGCCCTGGCTCATTGCAGATTCAGTTCCTGGTCAGGGCATATACCTAGGTTGCCAGTTCGATTTCTTGTTGGGGAATGTAGGGGAGGCAACCGATTGATGCTTCTCTCTCACACAGATGTTTCTTTCTCTAAAAATCAACAAAAACATATCCTCAAGTGAGGATTAAAAAATTATATGCTTTTCTCTTGTTAATCTGTCTTTGTCAGTTTAATTTTCAGGCCCATCCCGGGTAGGAGGACCCAGGAAAATGTTTTTTTCCCCTACAATAGGTAATAAAAGTAAAGTTAGACATACACACACATACACACACAACCTTTCAGTTTATTCTATGTCCTTAAACTACTATCTCTTTGCAATTAAACTAAAACCTAGCCTAGTAAGGTAGAAGTTGCAGTTGCCTACCCAACAGCCATTTTTCTCTTTTTAAATAATATTTGGCACATAGTAAAACAATTATTTGAAATTCAAATTTAACTGGAAATCCTATATTTTATTTGGTAACTCTAACATTTATGTATTCAATGGTTATATTCTTTAGTAACATGTTCTTATATAAACACTAGAGGCCCAGTGCACGAAATTGGTGCACTGGTAGGGTCCCAAGCGGCTGCTGGCTGCCAGCCGGGTACTCCCTTCCTTCCCCTGGCAGGCCCCACCCCCTGGTCGAACTCCTGGACAACACTGGTTGAGGGGACAATTTGTATACTACGCTTTTATTATATAGGATATTCAGATTAGTAAACAAATAATTTTTTGAAAAGCACTTGTGAGCATTTATGTCCAATATCAAGTCCTCAAGGTCCATATCCCGAAAAGTCCGGGGTCCCAGTCCATGGCTCCAACTTTGTGCACATTGAGAGCCATGTCATATGGTAGAAAGTATAGCACCTGCAAGGTCATGTTAGCAAAGGAAGTGAGGTTGTTGTCCCAGATGAATCCTCTGGAGGCAAACTGTGATGCTGAAGATCCAGGAATGAAGACAAAATAACACCCAGCCAGCCTCCCCACCTCCTGCCCAAGAGAGAAATGATGCAGCCAGGCCCTTCCAGTGACCACCTCTGGGTCTGAAAGGGCAAGGGGAGGGGCAAACTGAGAACTTTCACTGAGAGATCCCTCCCGGGCTGGGGGGCTGGGGAATCCGGGCATAAGTACCATGATCTAATTCTCCTTCCTCTTGCAGATCTCTTGCCAATGCCTCCTCACCAGCAATATTTTCTGATTGGACCTGGAGGTCAGTGTACAAGAGAGGGTTAGAGGAAGTCCACACTGGTCAGCCTTCTGGGGAACAGAGCAAGACAAAGGTGAGTGGAGAATGTATCCAGAGAAGCAAAGGAAAAATACTCCACGTACTTTCTGAGGTTCTGGGGCTTGCCAGCATTATATCTCTCCTTGTTTCCTTTCCTACTGCTGGGAAAGAACCAGCAGAGATGGGCAGAAGAATCCTGCCTAGGAAATTATTTTCACAACAGAAAGCCACATAGAATGGACTCAGTATGGCTATCCATAATTTTTGGATTATGCTTCTTTGGGAAAGTTTTTTGGGTTCCTTCACTACCCCAACCCAGGAAGGGTGCTCTGTCCTGTGACAATATTTTATCAGCACACTGTCTGTATTCTACATAGTGTCTTATCTTATGTGCCCAGAGTCTAGCCAGGTTTAGCACAGAGTAAATGTTGAATGGAAGGATGAATGAATGCATGAATGCTTAATCAGAGAGGATGCTAAGGAGTTTAGGGAGATTACAGTATCTTGAATTTCTCTCACTCTCCCACAAGATGGCAGCAATCACCATGGTCCAGTTTTCCTATGTGAAGAACTCAGCACATCTTCATTGAGTGCCTTATGAACACAATAGGTCTATTTTTCAAATCATTATATCAAGGACAGAATAATACACTGATGGCAAGGAAAAGAAAAAAATAAAAATATTTACTATCACTAATATTATTGGATATGGCACTATACATTTTACTTTAAAAAGCATTTGGGAAACATGTGTTACTGAATTTGTGAAAGAAAAATTGCCCTCTGTGCAAATGTTAGATGAACAAATGAATTATCTCTGACCCGTGTGGTACCTAGTTGTTATCTGATCTCCTAGAATCACTCTGTTGGGCTCTTCCCATACACCTGGCTCTGTTTTCTTGCTCTCAAAGTTAAAAAGTTCATAGGTTCCAGGTCCTCAGGTGGCTCGCTTCTTACTCCAGCCACTTCAGTCTGTGCAGAGACCATACAGTGCTTCTTGTACTGGACAGTGAATGCTTAAACTCATCACGGTGTCAGATCATATTCACTTCTGAAAAAGGACACGACTTTCAGAAAATTGTTACTGAGTAAGTATTCTTTACAGGCTCAGAGATGAGAGTGTCCCAGTGAGGTTGAGGGTAACTTAGTTTTCTTAAAATGTCATGGATCTTCACACACACGCAGTACACACACACACACACACACACACACACACGCAGTATACACACACACACACTAGGGGCCCAGTGCACGAATTCCTGTGCCTTGAAAGGAACTGTGGGCCGTGAGGCTGTGGTGGGCACAGGGGTGGGTCTCGGCCCATCC